AGTTTTCCAGCAGTTTCATTTCTCACGTGGTGAGGTAGGAGGAGGAGGAGGAGGAGGAGGAGGAGGAGGAGGAGGAGGAGGAGGGGGAGGAGGAGGAGAGGCTCCAGACATGCTCGCGTCCTGAAGACATCAGCACTTCGGTTGTCCCTGGGTTACACCCTCTCGGGGCCCTCACCGGGCCTCGGGGCCGTCACAAGTCGCCTCGGGATGAAAAGCGGGCCCTGGGGAAGGGGTCCGGACTGCCGCTGAGCCCGCACTGAAATCGGGAGGGGAAAAAACACACAGACACAATGAATCGTCGACTCCCAGGAAAATAGCGGAAAATACAGGAAATGGGGGGGAAGACGGAGACCCAGAAAATATAGGAAATATGGTGAATCTTGGGATTTGAGTGTGTATTTAGTTGTGTGTCCCTGGGCCCCTTCACTGAGAAGCAGGCAGAGAAGAGGGGGAGGTCGGAGGTGGCATGAGGGATGGAGGAGGAGGGGGCGGAGAGGTCGGAGGTGGCAGGGAGATGGAGGAAAGGGGGGGGGGAGATTCGAAATGACAGGAGGATGCGGTCACTCGAGCGTCCAATGGCCAGCGTGGAAATACATAAAAAAGAAACAATGCTGCCACATCAGGTCCAGCATGACGGAGGCAGAGGGCAGTGCATCGTCGGCATCTTCGTCTTTGCTTTCTGCATTTGCACGTATCCCTTCAGTTCTGGGAGGAGAGGTCGGGGGTTGCAGGAGGAGGGGGAGGTGGGGAGGAGGAGGAGGAGGAGGAGGAGGAGGAGGAGGAGCAGGAAGGGGGGGAGGTGGCGGGGGACGGGGGGGCGGGAGGATGCGGATGGGCCTGGGGGAGGGAAGGGAGGAACCGGGCATTGAGGTTTGCAAAGAAGTTTGCCCGAGGCGATCGGAGTCTGGAAGTCTTCAGAAGCATTCACATCGATTATTCCCAACTCGTTGAACTGTCTTTATGTGGTCACGCGGCGTATTGCAGCCGTTTCAGGGTGGTCTTTGGCTGTTCGGGGCTGCTCAGAAGCCACTGGTGTGACCCCGGGGACGTATTCGGACGCTCGTGGGCCGCCTTGAGCGCTTTTGGGCGCTTTCTTGATGACCCAGTTTTCCACCACTACGAAAGGTAATAGAGGGAGAAGGAGGAGGAGGAGGAGGAGGAGGAGGAGACCCTTCATATCTTCCCTTCTCCTCCGTCCTATCTATGGTAGTGGTGGTGGGAAATTGGCCCACCATCGCTCCAGCATCCCCGAGGCGAGCTGGAAGCTGGACAGCGTCGGATGCAGAAGCACTGCTTTCTCGGTAGTCGGTGGTCAACGTTGTTGGCTCCTGAGAGCCGCGCACGGAGCCTCTTTGGGCCTCTCCTGGAGGCCTCTCGGGACTTCTTGGGTCATCTCGGAGAGATCCTGTACGGTCGGACCGAGATAGGAGATCGAGGTCGGTTCGGAGAGGGTGCCCTCACGTTCCTTCGCGTTTGTTGACCGTTCTTGTGCATCCTAAAAAAGGGGGTCCTCGAATGTTCCTCAGTTTGGGCAGGCGGACGGTCTCATGTTCTGAAAGGGTGTTTTTCTGTCCTGCGTCCGACCGTGGCCGTTGTGACCTCGATGGCCCATCTCTGGACGAGCTTGGGGCGTTCTGTGAGACAGCAGTTACGGGATGGTTTCTGGCCCTCTGGGGGTCGTCCGGGGGCCGAACGGGGCGCCGACTAGCAACATCAGGGGGGGCGGGTTCAGAGGATGGGCGCGGCGAGAGGGGGGAGGGCGGGGGGGGCCTCGGAGGGACCCTCACGATACACCGCCACCAGCACTGGCCAGCTCCATCCTGGGCCCTGGACTTCTGCATGGACCTCCGGGCCTATAGGCCAGGAGGGCCTGCACCCCAGCCCGGGGCCCGAGCTGGGCCTGGCCAGGGCCAGTGTGGGCGTTGCTGCCTGGAGCTCTCCGAGGGTCGGCCGTAGAAACGTAGAAACGCTACAACGGCCCCAAGTGGTCGTTGTTGGTTCACTGTTTTGCCGAGCGGCGCGGGCCCTCGCCCCCCCCTCCTCCTTTCCCTCCCTCCCTCCCTCTCCTCTCCTCCTCCTCCTCCTCCTCCTCCTCCTCCCTCCTCCTCCTCCTCCTCCTCCTCCTCCTCCTCCTCCTCCTCCTCCTCCTCCTCCTCCTCCTCCTCCTCCTCCTCCTCCTCCTCCTCCTCCTCCTCCCCCTCCACAGGCCGTCAGGCCGAGGCAATTTTCAAATGCCTCGCCACCGCGGATAAGCGGTGCTGCCTGGGCTCCGTGTGGCACCGCCTGAATGCGGTGTGGGTCCGATGATGTCAGATCCTTATCCCGCCCGCGTTCCGGGTGCGATAAGGATAGGGCGGAGGGCGGCACCTCCCGCTGGGAGGTTCGTGGTCGTTCGTTGTCGTCCTTCGTGTCTCGTTTCGTCGTCATGTCCGTCGCCCTTGTCCTCTTTGGGAGTTGCGGCACGGCCCTGGATTAGGTTCCAGGGTGGACGTTGTTTGCGCTCCTGGGCCGGAGAGTGGCCCCCTCCCCCTCCCCCTCCCTGCTGCCGCTGCTGTTGCCGTTGCAGCTGTCAGGCCAGGGCTTTTAGTGCCCTGCCACCTCGGCCAAGAGGTGCGGCCTGGGCGCGGGAAGACCCCAGTGGCACCTCCTGGTCTGAGGTGCACCGCCGTTTGACGACCACGGAGGCGGGGCCCGCGGCTTTCCGCCTGTAACCTCTTGGTTGCAGTGCTCTTTGCCGCGGGCACACTGTTGCCGTGCTTGTGAGGGTGCGGGCGCTGGGCAACGCTCCGTGTTTTGTCCCTTGGGCGCCGATCCCGAACCCCCGTGCGCCATTTTGGCGCGGGGTGTAGGGCGGTCCTTGGTTTGCTTTCTTTTCCTTGATTTCCTCCCTAAGGCACAGCGTTTCTGGCGCTATTGGGAGTTAGTCAAGGAAAGGAGGCCGGAGGTCAGGTCCCAGCTTGTGTCCGTGATCCCCTCTTTTTGCGCGTGTGCCCTTGGTGTTGGCCGTTGGCCACTTTGGCCGTTGGCCAGGGCACGTTGGCCCGCGCTTTGCTGAGCGCCACGGTTTTGTTCTGCCTTTTGGGCCTGCAACATCCCCCTCCACAGCAGAGTAGATCTTGGCTGTTGTTGGCGCCTGCCTCAGGCAGGTGGAGCCCCTCCTTCACCGGACGCCGAACCGTCGCATTAAAAGCAGAGGTGCGGAGCCAGACCCCCCCCGCCCTCCCCCACCCCCTGCCGCCCCGTGTCGAAACGCCGAATGCAGTGTGGGCTCATGCCAAGAACCACCCTGCTTGCCTCCAGGGTGCCCGGGGGTTTCTTGGGTGTCGATGGTCTTGCCACGGAGAGCGCGACGCTCCCGCACCAAAAGTCGATGGACGTCCTGGGGTCTCAGGGTCGGGTCTCCTGTGGAAGGTTTCTCGTGGACTGGCCCCCGCTGTAAGAAAACGTGCGCCCTCCCGGCGCGCCCCAGGCGTGCCGTGCGCACGGTGGCGGCCTGCCCCGTTCTCTCCGTGCCCTCCCCCCGTGCAGAGTGCGCCGTCGGGGGGCGCTCACGGGGGAGCACCGCCACCCTCCCGCGGCAGCCGTGGCAGAGCTCTCCGCGCGCGCGAGGGCGAGCGCACCTGCACGGTCTCCTCGCTCCTCCTCCTCGCTCCTCCTCCTCGCTCCTCCTCCTCCTCCCCTCCTCCTCCTCCTCCTCCTCCTCCTCCTCCTCATCATCATCATCATCATCAGCATCAGCATCATCATCATCATCATCAGCATCAGCATCAGCATCACCATCAGCATCAGCAGCATCATCACCGCATCATCATCATCATCATCATCATCATCATCATCATCATCATCATCATCATATCCATATTCATCATCATCATCCTCATCATCATCATCATCACCATCATCATCATCATCACCATCATCATCATCTTCATCATCTTCATCATCATCTTCATCCTCATCCTCATCCTCATCCTCGTCCTCGTCCTCATCCTCGTCCTCGTCCTCGTCCTCGTCCTCGTCCTCATCCTCCTCCTACTCATCATATCCTCCTCCTCATCCTCCTCCTCTCCTTCCACACGCTCGGGATCTTTGGGACAACGCCTCGAGCCGTACGGACGGACCGAGGCAAAAGATCTCGAGGCACCTACGGTCGGGAAGTTGTGGATACGGTCGGGCCGAGGTAGAAGCTCGAGGCTTTCGGGCGTCGCCGTCGGCTCTCGGCCCTTCTCCAGCCTCGGGAGGCGCTCCAGCAGCGTCGCCTCGCCGAGAGGGCGTTCCGGGGGTGCCTGGATTGTCCCGAACGGCCACCGGAGAACCGAGCCATGACCGAAAAAACACCAGGCGCCCGTCGGGCCGAGGTGTAAGATCGAGGTCGGTTCGGGGACGGTAATTTCATTCGTGCCTGTGAGATGTTGTATTGCCGCCCTGGTCCGCACAACGCGTGAGTCTTCCGCTTCTGATCGCGCCTCTCTCCTCCCCCAGCGCCCCCGCCCCCATCTCTTGCGCGCCGGACAATCTGCCGATCGGTGCCACCGGTTGGCCCGACACTGGTGCGGAGCGCTTCAGCGCGTCACGTGATCCACTCCGCGGTTCCCAGGCGTCCACGTCCCTGGCCTTTCCGAATTTCCCAGACTCCCGCCCCGCGGAGCGGAGCGGCACGAGCTGGCCGCTCGCGCGGCACGGCGTGCCGCTGGGGCCGCCGCCGCGGCACGCGGCCCAGAAAGCTCTCTTGGCCGCAGCTGCTCGCCTGGAGGACCTTCCCCGGGGCCCCGCCCGACGCAGCCGCTCGACGCCGCGGCACGGCATTCCAGGCCCCTCCCGAGCTGGACTCAGGAGGGGAAAAAACACACAGACACAATGAATCGTCGATTCCCCAGAAAATATGCAAAAATATGCGAAGTGGGGGGGAAGACAAAAACTTCGAAAATATAGGAAAATAGGGGGAATCTTTTTGTTTGTGTGTATTTATTTGTGTGTCCCAGGGCCCCTTCATCGACGCCAGGCTCGGCCCGAGCTCGGCGCAGGTTCGCCTCCCGGCCGGCGGGCGCTCGGCGCGGCCGCGGCGCGCGAGGGGAGGCCGCGGCCCCCCTCTCGGGGGGCGTGCCATGGTCGGCGGCCCGCCCACGGCCAGCGGGGCCGCTCGCCACCAGGCGCTGCTGGAGCGCGAGCTCTTCGCAGGCGCGCGCTCTTGGTGGCTTCTCTTTGCCCTCCCCCCTGGTCGTCGTGCCTCTGTGGCTTGGCATCGCTCGGACGTGTGTGTTTTTGTTCTTACTCGTTTTTGTTGTTTGGTTCAAATGTTTTTGTTTGTTTTTTATTGTTTGTTTTATTATTTGTTATTGTTATTGTTTTTCTTAGTTTCCTTTTTGTTTTTTTTTGTGTTTGTTCTTCTTTTGTTTTTTGTTCCTCGGCGAGGGCCCTCGAGGAGCCTCTCGGCGGGCCTCCTGCGAGCAGATGCTCACGCGCGAGAATCGAGCAGTGCGCGGGGGGGGCCGTCCGAGCGCCGGCGGGGTGGGCGCCGGCCGAGCTTTCTCGGTGCTCTGCACGAACGAGATGGGCACGGAAAGAACGGGTACAATGCTCAACCGGAGTTCCTCCTCCTCCTCCTCCTCCTCCCCCTACCTCCTCCTCCCCCTACCTCCTCCTCCTCCTCCTCCTCCTCCTCTCCTCCTCCTCCTCCTCCCTCCTACCTCCCCTCCTCCTCCTCCTCCTCTCCTACCTCCTCCTCCTCCTCCTCCTCCTCCTCCTCCTCCTCCTCCTCCTCCTCCTGTTCATTTTGGGCAGGACTCGCTGTCGGCGCCGCCGCGGCCTGTAGCCATTCGAGACAGAAGGCCGCCCGCCCACCAGTGGCCGCTGTTGGCCTGGGACAACACTTGTTGTTGGGCATTGTGCCCATTCTTTCCGTGCCCATTTCGGGCGTCCAAAGGTGCATCGCGCCTGTGGCCGGCGCGCCGGGGGGGGGGGGAACGTTTAGGTCGGGCATGTCCCCCTTCAGGCAGATTCAGAAGGAGAAATGGGAAGGAGTCAAAACATATTCTAAAGTGGTCAGACAGTACTCGACAAATCGTCTAAGAACCTTTTGTGGTATGCACGACATGTTCTTAGAACATTTCTGGCTGGGACTGTCTTGTTTTCACACGTCGGGTTGATGTTCTAAGAACATTGTTCCCTACCTAGGCTCTGCCTAGAAGGGTTCTTACTCTCTGGGCTTCAAGGGGCCGGGCAGTGGAAAGCGCCCCGGGCGGTTCCCCCCAGTATCCGCCCCGCGGTTCCCCCAGTTACGTCTTCTTTAGCTTAGCGTCGCTTATCTCATCTTAGCTTAGCTTATTTCATCTTAGCTTAGCTTAGCTTCATCTTAGTTCAGGTTTATCTTAGCTTAGCCTACCAGCATCTTAGCTTCGCTGAGCTTTAGCATAGCAGAGCACAGCATAGCATAGCATAGCGTAGCATAGCATAGCGCAGCACATCATATCATAGCATAGCCCAGCATAGCATAACATAGCGCAACATAGCATAGAATAACGCAGCACAGCACAGCACAGTACAGCACATCACAGCGCAGCATAGCATAGCATAGCATAGCATAGCGCAGCATAGCATAGCATAGCATAGCATAGCGCAGCATAGCATGACATAGTATAGCATAGCATAGCATAGCAACTAATGCTGCTTTCCTAGGGGCTCCAACTTCTAGGTAGGGTCGCACTGGGGCAGTTTTTGTTCTTAGAACAATTTTGGGTTCTAGGATCATTTCGTGGTAGGTCTATAGGAATGCCGGGACGGTCGGCAGCCTGGCACGTCGATTAGCCCACTGGCCATTCTCGGTCCGCGAGAGGGCGTCGTGGCCGTCATTTTTGCGGGTCCAGGTCCATCGGTTGCGGTCCAGGGCTGTTTTCACAAAAGGGAGAATTACTAAAGGGAGGTGTGTCCACCGCCGATAACCACCGTCTAACATAACATAGGTCATGCTAATGAACGAACGCGCGATCTCAAAACAACATATAGAGAAAGCCATGCTTTACTGAAGCGAGAAGCGGATGTATTACATTGCGCCGCCGGATCAAAACAAGACAAACCATCATTTAGTAAACGCCAACGCGGGTTTACTGAATTCAAAAACGGATGTTCTAAATCTGGGGCCACTGTTCTAAATCCTTGATTCTATCATTACCATGACCTGAGTGGCTCGGTCACTTACGTCGGGCATGTCCCTCTACAGGAGGAATATGCAGAATAGTTAAAAACATAGTCTGTGGACGATGCTTCTATTATTTTTCTCTATTTGGGGGCATCTGCTGTGCTATATGTTTCATTCAATCGCTTCGCTCTTTCCGCCGGCCAATGTTGCATGATCGCTACTGCGTCACCGTGGGCCCGGGGCCATTGTGGCGCCGCCGAGGAGGAGGAAGATGAGGATGGGGAAGGGGAGGGGAGGAGGAGGAGAGGATGAGAAGGAGAGGAGGAGGATGAAGATAAGTAGTAGGAGGAGGAGGAGGAGGAGGAGGAGGAGGAAGGGGAAGTGGCGGAGAAAGAAGCCTCTCGTTTGGATCTTGTGTTGCTCTTGGGGCCAAACAGGGTCGTCGTCAAGATGCTTCTTTGGGAGGCCTCTTGGGGTCTTTTGAGAAGCTGTTCGGGGGCGCCTGGGAGGCATTTTTGGACTTCTGGGGCCTCTTTTGGGCCTCCTGGGGGCCTCCTGGGGCCTCTTGGGGGGGGCCTCTTGGCGACATCTTGGGGCCTCTCGGGGCCTCCTGGGGCCCTCTTGGGGCGCAAGTCTGGAGTTTTCGGTTCGTGGTCCCCCTCTTGGGCTCCTCTTGGGGCCGTCTTGGGCGCCTCTTGGGCCGTCTCGGGGCCCTCTTGGGCCGTCTCGGGGCCCTCTTGGGCCCTCTTGGGGCCCTGTTGGAAGCCTCTTGGCCCGTCTTGGGGTGCTCTTGGGGGCCCCTTGGGCCGTCTTGGAGCATCGGATGGCCGAAAAGGCGACAAGGCCAAAATCCTTCCGAAACCATAGTGCAATTTATGATTTTGGCCTCTCGGGCCCTCTTGTGAGGCCTCTTGGAGGCCACTTGGAGGCCTCTTGGGCCGTCTTGGGGTCATCATCGGCGTCTTGGAGCGCTCTTTGGGCGGGGACCTCTTGGGCAGTCTTGGGGACCTCTTGGGTCAGGAGGGGGGGTAGTCGATTGCGCCCCTCCCCTCGGAAGCCACGATCCTCGTGAGGGGTGTCGAAAAATTGCCCGGTCTGGCATCTCTGATCCGAGTGTCCCGGAAGTGTCCCGGGGGTGTCCCTGGGTATTTTTCGTCCAGGGACCCCCAGGGGCGGCCCCGCGCGCGCGAACTAGTATATAAACAGTTACCGGAGATCTTAGCACGCCCTTGGCCCGTTGGGCCGGCGAATTGTTTCTTCCAAAATTTGCCTTAAGGGGGCCACTCCCGACCTAATTATACCCTCGCTCAGGTGCAGCTTGTCATCGCTCGGACGTGTGCCTTTTGTGTTTCGGCGAGGACCTTCGAGAAACATGCTGGATCACGAAGCGAACGAAACCAAAACGTGCACGGGGAATGGACGTCCGAGCGATGGCAAGGCAGTGGGGTCATTATTTTGGAAGGTGCGCGCGATGCGTCGCGCGCTTAACGTTTCGAAGAAGAAATCGATTACAGAATTCATTGATGTACCCAAAACCAACATGTTCGTCGAACATGTGTGCTGACAGTGCCACCTTGATGGCGCTGCCGCAAACAATGGTACTCATTGTGCATTCGAGTGTGCCTGGGAAAGTTGTTCGTTTCTTGTGTTGACTACGTTTTTAGGTTTCGAGGAGCTTATGTCTTTTATGCTATCGCGCCACCGCGCTACCTCTTATGTACGTTGTATGTCCTTCACGCGTTCCTGCTATCTTTCGCATGGCTTGTCGCGTTATTATCCCATGCCGTTGTTCTCCAGGAGGATTGGAAGAGTCGCTTATTGTCGATAGCTTCCTCGAGGACGACATCCCTGGTCTCCGAAGTGCCTGGAGGACGTGGGAGCGAGACGACGAGAGATCCGAGAGGGGGTGCATGGGCGGCAGGAGATGCGCCGAGAGGAGATGTACCGACACTCCTTGCTTACTGGTGTTCTTCTTCTCTTGGGTCGGCATGTTCCTGATCTTGATGTACGCGGCCGCACACGGCAACGTCGACAAGGTGACGCACGGCTTCGACTGGTCGGGGGACATTTGTGGGGTGGACAAGGACGGCGGGCCGCAAATCTCGGCAGATCCCCACCGCCCATTGACAGCAGTGCCCGCTTCGCAGGTGGAGGAGCACGAGGCGTAGGAGGAGAGCGAGGAGAGGTTGGATGCCAGGGTGGACGGGCAGGATGATGAGGAGGAGGAGGATGGTGTGGTGGAGGAGGAGGAGGAGGGGGAGGAGGAGGGCGGGTAGAATGAGGAGGAGGAGGACGACGAGGAGGAGTATCTTCACCTTCATCCCCCCTGCTCCCCGCAATCCTTCCCCCTCACTGTCCGCCCCCTGTTCTGATGCGCCTCGTAACCCTCGGCATGGGCCGAGTACCATGCCTTTCTCCCAGCCGTCGAGGACGTCAAGAACCAGCCCTATTTGTACTGGTGCAAGGCCGCGGAGGGTCTCGTTGCAATCAACCTCCGATCCGCTTCCCCATCCTCCCCCTCTTCGCGGCTGAGGGGGACCAGCATGAGGCGTCCCTGCACTCACCACTGATGCAGCAGTCTGCAGTCCAATCGCCCCCTCGCATGTCGACATGCGTATTCCCCAATCAGCACTTCCACCTGCACTCCCTCTGAGCAACCAGAGCCTTGGCCTCTCTCTGGTCACCCCGTCTTCGCCCGTCGCCGCCGCCCGTTTTGCATGGTTGTTCATGGGTCTGCACCGGTTTGCACTTGTTTGCATGGCTTTGTTTTGTGTTGCTTTGCATTGCCTTCCATGTCCTCGCACTGCCTCGTAGTTTTTGGTATCGCTTGGCGCTGCTTCCCGTGCCTTCGCCATGCCTTGCACTGCATTGCGTCGATGTCCCTTGCTTCCCTCTGGTTTGCGCTGCTTGGTCTGGCAGGCTTGCCGCCGCCCGTCGCCCGTCGCCCACTGGGCCCGTGCGTCGGTCTGGCCCGCTCGTCGTCGCCCGCCGTCGCGCCGCCCGCTGGCATTGCCGCGCGTCGCTTTGCGTCGCTTCGCATCGCTTTGCATTTTTGTGCGGCACTGCTTCGCACCACCAATGACTGCCCCTAATGGATTGCAGCTCTCTAGGTCTGCTTCTCCTCCTCCTCCTCCTCCTCCTCTGAGCGGGACTCTGGTGGAAGTCCTCCCCGCAAAGAGGCCCAGGCCACGGCGGCTGCTCTTGTCGAGCCCCCCCCTCACCGGAGTTCTTCGGAGGTCGGCGGAGCCGTGCCCTTCAGGGCGGTCAGCTTTTTTTTTGGGAAGAAGGGCAACCCTTGGCTTCTCAGGGCTTCCCCATGGGGCAAGGCCACAGGGAGAGAGGCTCAGGGTGAATGCATCGTCCCCCAATCCGCATTCATCTCCGATAGGGGGCCCCAGAATCCGCTTCGCCCACGAACTTGCAGGTTCGCTATCTGGGGCTTCTCGCCGATCTACGGACGATCTATCACAAATGTCAGCTCAATGTTTCCCCCCATGGGCGAGCCCCCCCCCCGCCCCCTGTGGTTCCCCCGCACCTCCCGTGCCCCTCCCCTGCGGTCAGGAGCTCTGGCTTAGCCTGCCGCGCCGCCCGTCTTGGCCCACCAAGCCTCGCCGCGGCACCATACACGCCGGTCGCTGAAAGTAGGTATTTTTGGATTCCTGGATTCCAATCTACTTCAAGCGCCTTCCTACCTCAAGAATCGGCACGCTTTTGCAATGTTCTGTTGTTCCCTGGGGGCGCCTGGACCCAATCAACTTGATCCGCCTTCCTACTCCATGTTGTTACCTGCTTCTTCCGACCGACGTGTATCCACGTCCCAGCCTTAGGTCGGGCCTGTCTCCCTACAGGGGGATCTTCGACGAAAAAATACAAATACCCCACAAGTATTCCAAAAAGGTAAAAAAAATAGTCCCCAGACTATTTTTGGATTATTTCTGGATTATGTTTTGGGTATTTTGTAGCTTTCGTCGAACATCCCCCTTGTAGGGGGACAGGCTCGACTTCATCCCAGCTCCCCAAGCATCAGTGTCCCGAGCCTTCCAAGGCCGAGCCTTCCAAGGCCCCCCCCCACCGCCCCGCGGAGCGCCAGCGACACGCTCGCCGCTCGCGGGGCACCGCGCCTCGCCGGGGCCGCCGCCGCCCGCGGCGCGCGTGAGCAGAAGCCCCCCCAGCCTTGCTCGGGCCAGACGAAAGGGGGGGATAGGGAACTGGGGGGTTACGAAATGTGCTGCATGCAGCTGGTTTCGGCCCCACCGAGGGGCCCCACTCCTCGATACTAATGGCCGCCTCCGGCGCCGGGAGGCGCCGGGGAAATCAGCTACGCGAGCTGATTCTCAACCCCCCCCTTTCCTATCCCCCCCTTTCGCCCGACCCGACTTGCTCTCGTCGGAGCCCTGCGGGCGTCAGGGAGCCGCTCGTGCCCCTGCGGAGGGCCCGAGCCTGCCGGGCGGGCGGCGTCCGCCGCCGTGCCCCGTGGGTCTGCACGAACGACACGGGTACGGAGAGAATGGGTACGATGCCCAACGGCAGTTCTCGTTCATTTGGAACAGGGCTCGCTGTCCACGCCGCCGCGGCCCGTGTCCACTTGAGGCAGGAGTCCGCCCTCCCAACAGCGGCCGCTGTTGGTTCGGGACAACATTTGCTGTTGGTCATTGTGCCCATTCTTTCCGTACCCATCTCGGGCGTCCAAATCCGTCGCCGTGTCCCGTGGGGCCCGGCGCGGGCCTGCGGACGGAAGGTCTCGGGGCTCACGCAGCGGGCGTCAGCGCCGTCGGGGGTCAGCCAATCCCCGTCGAGATCCCCCGGCTGACCTTGAGTCGGGCCTGTCCCTCTACAGGAGGGACATTCGGAGATGGTCAAAAAAGGGTCTCGGGACTTTTTTGACTATTTTTGAGCATTGGGGGTGTATGTTTTGGAGTATTTTTCAATTTCTCGCTCAAAATCCCCCTGTAGGGGGACAGGCCCGACTTACGGCTGACCCCAGCTTGGGAGCAGCCCGGACTCCCGGCGCCGCCCTCGCTCGACCCGCCTTCCGCCGCAGGCAGGCGGGCCACGTAGCCGGCCGACTCTGCGTGGCCGGACGGGGTCTCGCGGCGTTGCCCTGTGCCGGCCCAGGTCCGCGCGTCGCCTGGCCTTGGTATCGCTCGGACGTGTGCACTTTTTCTAGGCGGGGGTTATGATCACCACCCACCACATCACCCCAACCCAACCCGAAGGCTTCAATCTGCCCTCCATTTCCAGTGGGGGGGGGGTCTGGGAACATTGAAAAGCACACATGGGACCCGGACCCCCCCCCATCCCGAAAGTCGGGTCTTCGGGTTGGGTTGGGATGGTCTGGTAGGTATAGTCATATGACGGAGCAGCCCGGCTCCTTTTGCGAACAACCCCGCGCACGAGACCGACAAAAGCACGGGGGAGGGGCCGTCCGAGCGATTGCCCGTGGAGGACGAGCCGCGCTCGGCACCGCCCGGGGGCGAGGGCGCCGCACCCCGCGGGGCCGCGCGCGCGTGCCGGAGGCTGCTGCGCCGGCGCGTGCGGCGCGGCTCTCTCCGGGGCAGCGCGTTGCCCGGTGCAACGCCGGCCGGCCGTGCGCCTTCCCAGGGGGGCGCACTGGCGGCTCCTCTGCCCGGCCGGCACCCCGCGTGGGCCTCGCGCCCTCTATACAGGGGCGCCCGGGCTTGTTTCGTCGACAGAGCTCCCTGTATAGGGGCACGCGCCCGACTGAAGCCTTGCGCCCTCGCCCGCCCCCCCTTGTTGCTGCGCACAGGTGAAATCATAATTTGACCGCGGCAGGCGGGGCGCCATCTCTGGCCTGGGCGCGTTTCGCCCCACCCACATCCGCCCGGGTTGTAGCAGCCAGGCGTCCACCGGCCCTGAGGGCCGGCAGGCGAAGGGAAGGGAACTCCTGCGGCTCGTGGGCGTGGCGGCCTCTTCTTTGGATGGGCTGATCTCCCACCCCCACCACGCACGGGTGGGGCGGGGGAGACGGGAGGATGTGGAGGTCCCCCTCCTCGTCCTCCTCCTCCTTTCCTCCTCCTCCTCCTCCTCCTCCTCCTCCTCATCATCATCATCATCATCCTACTCTACCTCCTCCTCCTCCTCCTCCCCCTCCCCCTCCTCCTCCTCCTCCTCCTCCTCCTCCTCCTCCTCCTCCTCCTCCTCCTCCTCCCACATTCCTTTTCCTTAGAAATAATCCCACATTCCTTTTCCTTAGAAATGAAATAATTTCTCCCTGTCGCATCCCGAGGCAAGTGTTTTAGACTGGTTGGGCGTTTCGCCTGAGATTTCCTCACCATTCATGATTCTGAAGCTCAAAATTTGCCAACAGCTCCACAGATGGAGGGCGGGTCGTTTTCAAAATGTGGCTCTCGCCTCAGCGCGGCGCACATTCGCTTTAAGAAGCTGCCAGGGTTTCACGCATTGAGGCTGGGTGGTTTTCAATTTTGGCCCTCGCCGTACCGCGGCTCACATTCGCTCTAAACATTTGCAAGTGTTTCACAGTCGTTTTAAACAGTTGCAAGAGCTTCCCGGATTGAGGGCGGCTCCTTTTCAATATGTGACTCTCGCCCCAGCGCCGCACACATTCGTTTACTCAATTTGCAAGGGGTTCACATAGTCCCCTCATCAACGTACCAGAAATGTTGCTTTGAGAGGATTCAGGATTTTGCGGGCGCAACAGTTACGTTGATTCGCTGTGTTGAAGCCCCAGGAACGGCATGCGGGCGCGATTCAGGATCGCCAAGGCGCAACAGTCAGGTTGATCCGTGGTGTTGGAATCCCGAAAATAATGTTTTGGCATCCTTCATGGTTTTTAAACGGTTGTCTTCAAACGAGGCAGTTTCCTCAATGGATACACCGTTGTATAGGGCCTATGAGAAGGGAACTTGAAGGGAGGGTTTATTAATGCCAAAATCGTTGATGACTCTTGGGTTTACACTGGTCCTCCTCCTCCTCCTCCTCCTCCTCCTCCTCCTCCTCCTCCCTGTCAGATCTACCTCCGGCAATGGTGGAACATCCTCCCGTCATATATGGACGGCGAGGGGCCGGCGTGCCGTGTTGGGCCCAGGTGCGTGCCTGGACGAAGGGCACACCTTCTGCTGCGGCCCCACTCTCGGAAAAGCACAGGGGCGAAATGTGAGGAGAAGGGCGAGGAACAGAGGCGGGAGGAGAAGAGGAGGAGAAGGATGAGGTGAGCGAGGAGGTGGAGGAGGAGGAGGAGGAGGTGGAGGAGGAGGAGGAGGAGGAGGAGGAGGAGGAGGTGGCTGAGGAGGAGGAGGCGGGGGGGAGGAGGAGGAGGTGGAAAAGGAGGAGAGGAGGAGAAGGAGGAGGGGGAGGACGGGGCGGGGGACCCAGGAGGAGGAGGAGGAGGAGGAGGAGGAGGAGGGAGGCGGAGGAGGAGGAGGAGGAAGAGGAGGAGGAGGAGGAGGAGGAGGAGGAGGTGGAGGAGAAGGAGGATAAAGGGGAGGAGGAGGAGGAGAGGAGGGAGGAGGAGGAGGAAGGAGGAGGAGGAGGAGGAGGAGGAGGAGGAAAAAGGAAGAGGAGGAGGATCAGGAGGAGGAGGAGGAGGAGGAGGCGGAGGAGGAGGAGGAGGAGGAGGAGGAGGAGGAGAGGAGGGGGAGAGGAGGAGGAGGAGGAGGAGGAGGAGGAGGAGGAGGAGGAGGGAGGAGGAGGAGGAGGAGGAGGAGGAGGAGGACAAGGAGGAGGACGAGGCTGAGGAGGAGGAGGAGGAGGAGGAGGAGGAGGAGGATAAGGAGGAGGAGGAGGAGGAGGAGGCGGAGGAGGAGGAGGAGGAGGAGGAGGAGGAGGCGGGGGGGAGGAGGAGGAGGTGGAGAAGGAGGAGAAGGAGGAAAAGGAGGAGGAGGAGGACGGAGCGGGGGCCCCAGGAGGAGGAGGAGGAGGAGGAGGAGGAGGAGGAGAAGGAGGAGGAGAGAGGAGGAGGAGGAGGAGGAGGAGGAGGAGGAGGAGGAGGAGGAGGAGGAGGAGGAGGAGAAGAGGAGGAGGAGGAAGAGGAGGAGGAGGAGGAGGAGGAGGAGGAGAAGGAGAAGGAGGAGGACGAGGCTGAGGAGGAGGAGGAGGAGGAGGAGGACAAGGAGGAGAGGGAGGAGGAGGAGGTGGAGGAGGGGGAGGAGGAGGAGCAGCAGGAGGAGGAGCAGCAGCAGGAGGAGGAGGAGGAGGTAGAGGAGGAACCTCAGGAGGAGGAGGAGGAGGAGGAGGAGGAGGAGGAGGAGGAGGAGGAGGAGGAGAAGGAGCTTTTACTGGGGTGTAGCCCACAGGCGCAGTGCCAGCGCGGGGCATCAGCGGCAGCTGGAGGCTTCGCAGAGCGAAAACAATACCCGCGGGCACCGCCGTCACGCAGCGTGCTCCACGCAGGCGGTGCCTCTCGGTCAAAATAGCCACTCGGCATACAGGGCGATTACTTCACCAATCGGGGAGGACCTCCAGCCCCCCGAGTGTGGCGTCCAGGGCGAAGCCTCCAAACGGAGTCGAGGCCTTCGGCCCCGAACCGAGAGGCAACTTCGCCCCAGTTCCTGAGTGGTTTCTGCTCCAGAGGTGGTCCAAGCGGGCACGGGTCGACGAGCCGCGCTCGCACTGCCCCCTGCAATCCACCGCTAGGAGCTGGGTATTATCGCGCGAGTGTGCTCCACACGAGCTGCAGAAGGTGAACGGGCCAACGCACCAAAGGCGGTGGCCTACGGCAGGCCGGCACGGGGCCTGCCTGAGCGTCTTGGCCACCTTGACCACACGCAGGCACCTTACGCATCGCAGTTTGCCCGCAAACTGGACTATGTCGTGCTCTCCCGCGGGGGCCTCCTCATCAGCCGTGAGCCTCGGGGGCGGCCGTCCACGGGTCTCGACATCCCGAGCCGACACTGTACTGGCAGGAGGGCCGACAGCTCGCAGGGTTCTACAGATGTACTTGCACACATACGTGGACACGCTGGCCGACTTCAACACTCGATCGTTCGCCTGCAGGTCCTGGGGATGCCTGGACGCTCCGAGCCTAGCGAACTGATCAGCAAACTTGTTACCGAGTCGCCAGTACCTGGCGTCTGCTGACAGGTGGTCGTCGCGCACACGCGCGTGACCCTTGACGTTGATCACTTCAACCTCCCCCCCAAGGTCGTCCACGCGCCCCCACACCCGTCCCCACAAGTCGGCGCACATGCGCATGCTGCCCGTCGTGGCCTCTCGGCCCTTCTTAAAACTCGAGACCACCCAGTCACAGTCGGATAGGTAGCGAAAGGGCTCGAGCGAGATGTGGAGGAGGTACATTAAGAGCCCAAACAGCTCGGCCACCTCAGAATCCTGAAGGAGTCCAGGGAGGGGCCCACACAGCGCGGCCGTGACATCTAAGCCGCCCCCCGAAGTTTAGACCACGGACCATCCAGCTCTCTTCAGACGGGGCTCGCACGCAAGAATGGACCCGCAGGACCCGTCGCCGAAAGCCTCGCCCTCCAGGTAGCCTCCCGGGGCCTAACCTCCCAGCTCACCTGAAGCTCCAGGGTCCTGGACGCCCGAAATGGGTACGGAAAGGATGGGTACAATGCCCAACAGCAGTTCCTGTTCATTCTGAACAGGACTCGCTGTCCGCACCGCCGCGGCCTGTGTCCATTCGAGACAGGAGGCCGCCCGCCCAACAGCGGCCGCTGTTGGTTTGGGACAACATTTGCTGTTGGGCATTGTGCCCATTTTTTCGGTACCCACTTCGGGCGTCCAAAAGGGTGGGAGGCAGGCACCACTTGACTGGATCGGGCAGGAGACCTTGGCACCACGACGCTCAGTCCTCGCGGTCGCGCGCACCAGAGCGAAGCGAGTGCGGCAGCATGTAATCTCGTCGATAGTCCCACGTGCTCGGACACGACCCCCAACACAAGTGCCCCACCGTCCCCCGCTCGAGGCCACACAATTCGCACCAAGGGCTATCGACGAGCCCCGCCTTGAATGTGCGAGCTCGATGCCAATATCCATTCGCTGCGAGGCATCTTGCCGTCGCCTGGTGTAAGGCCGTCCAATCCTTGGCTGCCGACGGCTTGGTTGAGCAGAGGTGGCGAATAGGGGGCGAGGAAGGGGGGATGAAAGAGCGAGGCGAGGTGGGGACACTCTACGCGCGCAGTGCGAAGGAGCCAATCCTCGACACCCTGCTTGGCGATTTTCTGAATTGTCCGAGGGCACACTTCACTTAATTCCAAGACCTCGCCGCGAGAGGAGGAGGAGGAGGAGGAGGAGGAGGAGGAGGACGGGGCTGATGAGGAGGCTGATGAGGATAACGAGGAGGCCGACGAGGGGGATGGAGACAACAAGGAGGACGTCCTGGGAGGACAAGGTACTGATACCCGATGCTGCTACCCGTCCGTCGTCGCAACAGCGGAACCGGCCACGAAAGATTTGGTCGGACCGACGCCTTGGAGAGGTCTGTGGAGTAGCAGTATCGGTACGGCAGGTTCGCGTCGTGTCGACCAGTGGCAACCCCTCCGCCGGCGTTCAATCCAGAGTCGGTCGATGTTGAACGATCTGACAATTCGGGAACGACCGATCTTTCAAGGATGAACGATCCCCGCGGTGTCAGGAACCAGCGCCAGGGTCCACACGACACGAACCCTCGGTACAGTCAACGCGCATAGTAAGGATGGGCAACCTTCCCAAGCTTCCCAAGGGTACCCTCGCATCCTTGCCTCCTCGGTCCATCCTTGGCCACTCTCGTTGGCCGCGCCCCTTGCGCAGCGTGCCGACATGGCCCCGACATGGCCTCCCAAGGCCCTCGCATCCTTCTCTTGCGTCCTTGCTGCACGGGTTGACTGTACCTCGGGGCGACAGGACGGCCTGATCAGTGGTCGCAGGGGGCGGGGTTTCCCAGAAAGGTCGGGGAGGACGAGCTCTCCGACCCCGTCTGCGTTCAGAGCTGCCCCAGCGGGCCTGGAACGTCCACCCGCTGCCCGGGCAGGGCTTGGGTCAGGCCGGGGGGCCTCAGCGTCCAAAGTCGAGTCGTTCCCGATTGTCCTCCCTCGTCGTTGTCCTCGTCTTCCGTCGCCTCTGCGCCCACGACCGCCGCCTCAACGAAGCGCACATCAGGCCCTGGGTCCCACCTCCACCGCCAGAGAGCACCTGTATCCACCGCCTCGGAGACGTGCCCATGGGGTACCGAGGAGCTCTCGATGAGTGGTGGTAATTGGGTGCCCGAGGTACCCGGAGGGCGGCCAAGCATACGGATCCCCCGCCCATGGGTCCAGGGTCCAGAGCGGCACTCCGGCAGGTGTAGCTGCAGGTGTCTCCAAGCGTTGCACCCAGGTCTCGTTCTTCCTGCTCGTTCTCCTCTGAACAGGGGGAAACCGGCCCCAGCCACCACAGCAATGGGTTTTACATGTCAACGTTTTGCAAGTATGCCAGATGTGCAGAAGTGTGGGAGCCCTGTAAGCGAGGCCATTGCCAGCTGCCGCCGGGGGGGGGGGAGCGCGCCCGCGGTCTAGTTGGTTTGAAGTTCCTCATGTGGGGGCGGGGGTCGTTTATCATGCGTTCATCCTCGTCGATGTGTCCGTCCTCCTCGTTCTCGTCGTCATCCTCCTCTGCCTCTTCGTCTTCGGCTTCACCTCCCTCCAACCATGAACCCGTCCTCGCGTATTCCGCGTCCTCCTCGTTGCTTTTGTCCCCCTCTCCTCATTCTCTGTCCTGCTCTACGTGGAGGGCGTATGGGCCTGGAGTCAAGCCTCTCTCTGGAGTTTGGCATGGTCGGGATGGATCGATGAGGTGGAGAGAGAAACAGAGTGCGGAGGGGTGATGCTGGGAGGGGGGAGGGATGGAGAAAGATGCGGGGATCACAACAGGACTATGCCAGGACCTTGCCAACACAGTATGCACTCCCAGGACTTCGCCATGACCCCACCAGAGTCTTACTGGGGCCTTGCTAGCAGCTGACCGTCGTCAGGGTGCTACCAGGGTGCTACCATTACAGTCGCACCGAGGTATTTGATCGAGGTCGGTTCGGGGAGGGTACCCTAGTGTTCTTCCTAGTTGTTCGATGTTTTGGTGCATCCTGGGGAAGGTACCCTGTGATGTTCTGCTGTTTTTGGCCGGGCGGAGGGTCTCATGGTCTCGAGGGATGTTCTTCTGGCCTAGGTCCGACCGTACACAACCTGGGCTCCACCCAGTCTATACCACCATTATGCCCAGACCTTGTATCCTGCCGGAACCCTCTCACGACATACCGTGATGCTTTCGGGTCATTATCAAGACCCCAGGTTGTTTACACGACCATGCCAGGATGCTACCACGCCCCCTGACCAGAACGCCGCCAATAGTGCACTGCTACCCTGCCAGTAATTCCAGACGCTTCGCGTAACCTCACCAGCCCATCCAGAAACCATGCCCAGAGGAATTGCCTCGATCAGGGAAGTGGGCAGCACGCAGAGGAAGGGTCTCCCAGTGGAGGCCTCTTGGAGCGTCTTGGGGGCCTCTTGGCGGTCCCGGACGCCTCTTAGAGTGTCCTGGGTGCCTCGGAGAGTTGCGTGGGGCCTCTTGGGGGTCTCTTGGGAGCCTATTGGAGGCCTCTTGGGCGCCTGTTGAAGCCTCCTGGAGCCTCCTGGGCGCCTCTTGGGGCCCTCTTGAAGCGCTCTTGGGATCCTTTGGAGCGCTCTTGGAGCCGTCTTGGGCCTTCTTGGAGCCATCTTGAAGCCTCGGATGGCCATCGGAAGCGAAAAAGCGAGAAAGCCCCAAACATTGATTTTCCTTAGATTTTGGAAGGATGTTGGCCTCTTCGGGTCCTCCTGGGGGAGCTCTTTGGCCACTTGGAGCCGTCTTGGAGCGGTCTTGGGGCTGCTTGGAACATCGTGGGAGCCATCAGGAGGCATCTTGGGATATCTTGAGCCATCTTGGAGGTCATCTTGGGCTCTCCCAGGCGCTCTCAGAGTCATCTGAAGCAGTGCCCCCCCCCAGGAGGCCAAAATGTTGCCAAAACCTATGTAAAATCAATGATTTTGGCATTCTCGCCGAGGCCTCTTGGAGCGCCTTGGGTGCCTCTGGGTGGCCTCTTGTGGCCTCTTGGGGGTCTCTTGGGAGCCTCTTGGAGGCATCCTGGGGGCCTCTTGAGGGCTTCTTGGGGCCACATGTGGCCATCTTTGGGCCATCTCGGGGCCTCTAGCCAAAACCGCAGTAAAACCCATGATTTTGGCTTTCTCGCCGAGGCCGTTTTGGACGCTCCAACGCGTCGCGAAACCTCCTGTCCAGGTCCAGGGGAGGGAGTAGGGGGGGTGGTAAACCCCTCCCCGAACGGGACGAAGGAGGTTGGAAGAGGAAACTCCCTAAACCACCTACGCCCAGAGGGCTGGTGGGATTTACAGCGACCCCATCACGACCCTTTCAAGACCGCGCCACGGCCCTATCATAACCCTTAGGGGCCGTGCCAGGTTGCCACCAGGACCCTACGAGCACCCGGCGCAGTGCTTCCTCAGGGCGGGGTCGACGGCCCCCGTCTAGGCCGATCTGGATCGGCAGGCCCTGTGGGACTGGCGCCAGGCGTGGGCGTAGGGTTCTGGCTACAGACGAGGAGCAGCATGACCCCGCTCGCGGATGGCGCAGAAAACAAGACGGTGATCGTTACGCGCACGCTCGACATGGTGCCCGACATCCACACGCAGGCCGTTTTCAAATACTGCCTGCCCGTGGGGGATGGCAAGCTCATGGACAGCATCAGCAAGTTTCCCGTCGTGTCCAGCCTCAGCAGCCAGCTGTGGATGGCGCTGCAGAGCGTCATGGACGCCAAGCTCTTTCTCCTCGGTGTCGTAGGCTTCGCAGTTGTGTTCAATTTCGTGTTCCTGGTCCTCGTGCAGGGGTGCATCAGGCTCCTGATACACGCGACGTTCTGCACCTTCGTCCTGCTGTTCCTCGCCGCCGGAGCGTGGGGCTTCGCGGCTGGCGTGCCAGAGGATCCTCCCCCCTGTGGGCTTCGACCCGCCTCCTGGCTGCTCCTGGGAAGGGAAGCGGGCGATTCCTTCCCCAAGATGCTGCATCACGGAGCTCCTTCCCTCTCTCTCTCTCTCTCTTGGGAAGGGAAGTGGGCGATGCCTCCCCGAAGATGCTGCATCACTGGTCTCCTCCCCCCCCTCTCTCTCTCCCTCCCCCCCTTCTCTCTCTCTCTCTCTCCCGTCTGCCACGCTCCTCCCTCTCCTCCGCGGGCCTCGCTCCGCGCTCGGCCGTGCGCCCCCCTGCACTGCCCGAGCTAAAGCACGTGGCAGGCGCGCGGACGCACGGCCGTGGCCTCGCTCGACGAACCAACACACACACACACAAACACACAAACACACAAACACACAAACACACACACACAAACACACAAACACACAAACACACAAACACACAAACACACAAACACACAAACACACAAACACACAAACACACAAACACACACACACACCCATAAGGGGGATCGGAGAAGGCTATGGGTGCGTGTTGTCGGATGGGGGTCCCCGCTCGAGCGGGAGCGTTCCCCAGGGTCCGACAACCCGCACCCATACCCACAGCCAGTCCTCATCCCAACGACCTTCCTATGGGTATGGGTGTGTGTTGTTCGTTCGTGATCTCTCCCTCTTCCCCTCGCCTCCCCCTTCCCCCTCCTCTCCCTCCTCGATCTCTCCGTCCGAGTCCTTGTTGATCCTCCGGTCGGCCTCGGCACGCAGGGCGGGCGGGGCGGGTCGGGGAGCCGCTGCTCTTAGACCTAGCCGCCCCCGCCTGTCGGGCGGGGGGTCATCGGAACACCACGGACGCTTCAATGAGTGGGTTTGATTTCTTGGAGGCCTCCTTGTCAGGCTCTGGGGGCCATCTCGGAGCCATCTGGGGCTATCTAGCTCATCTTTGATCCACCCAGGGCCATCGTGGGCGAACTACACCCTGCCCCAACTTGACGGAGGCAGTATCAGGGAGGATATACCCATGTCAGTCTCTGATTGATGCTGGACTCGCTCCATGTACTTTTCAATTCAGGGGTGCGTGACACGTGTCACCCGTTGTTTTTTGTGAGGTTGTATGGTCTTATGTCGGCTCCCAGAATCTCAAATGTACAACTTTTTCTCACTCGGCTTCGGGGGTGACACGTGTCACCCGTTGTTTCTTGTGACGCTGGATGGCCTTATGCTGGATCCCAGAATCCCACATTTACAATTGTTTTTTCTCTCACAAGGTTTCGGGGGTGACACGTGTCACCCGTTGTTTCTTGTGACGCTGGATGGCTCTATGCTGGATCCCAGAATCCCACATTTACGATTGTTTTTCTCACCAGGTTTCGGGGGTGACACGTGTCACCCGTTGTTGTTTTCGTGAGGCTGAAGGGCCTTACGTGGCTTGGTTCCCGGAATCCCAAGTTCGCAGGGCGTGGCCGTCGTGGCTTGTCGCAACGGGGGGCTGCGCAGGATTCCGCCCCTGCACGCGGAGCGCCAGGTCGGTCGCGGGGACGTCCCCTGCGATCCGGTGTGCCTCGCCTTCCTTCTGTTTTCGATGTGCGCACCACAGAGCTGGGAATCATAGTTTGTCCCAACCATCCTGTGGTGTTGGGCCCTCGTTTTGAGAAGAGACAGCGCCCCGCGTCTCCTCTCCTCCTCATCTTCCCCCTCCTCCGCCTACTCCCTTCTCCCATCCCTGCCTCTCCTCTCCGCGTGCCGTCGTCATTATCATGAGGGTGATCTTCACTGTGATCACCATCGCCAGCATCGGCATTATTAACATCGCCATCGTCAGCGTCGTGATTTTGTTCTCCGCATGTTCATGTCGGCACACCCCTCACACGGTTCGTGGCCCCACAGGGAGCCCCACTGGAGGCCCAAGTGGCAGGGTCCGCGTGCGTCCCCCCCCCCGCCCACTTTGGCACACCCCTCACGCAAATCGTAGCCCCATGGAGAGCTCCACCGAAGGCCCCTCTGGCAGGGTTCGCCGCCCACCTTGGCCTCCCCTCACGAGGATCGTGGCCCCATCGGGAGCTCCACCGACGGCCCCGTCCCCCCGCCCATTTCGGCACACTCCTCACGAGGATCGTGGCCCCATAGGGAGTTCGTTCCACCGACGGCCCCAGCCAGCGGCAGGGTCCGCATGCGTCCCCCCGCCCATTTTCGGCGCACCCCTCACGAGGATCGTGGCCCCATAGTCAGCTCCAACGAAGGCCCCCGCGGCAGGGTCCGCATGCGTCCCCCCGCCCATTTCGGCACACCCTCACGATGATCGTGGCCCCGTGGGGAGCTCCACCGAAGGCCCCAGCGGCAGGGTTCGCATGCGCCCCCCGGCCATTTCGCCTCTCCCCTCCTCCCCCCCCCCCTCGGGAGCTCCACCGAAGGCCCCAGCGGCAGGGTCCGCATGCGTCCCCTCGCGCATTTCGGCGCACTCCTCACGAGGATCGTGGCCCCATAGGGAGCTCCACCGACAACCCCAGCGGCAAGGTCCGCATCCGTCCTCCCGCACCCCTCACGAGGATCGTGGCCACATGGGGAGCTCCACCGAAGGCCCCAGCGACAGGGTCCGCATGCCTCCCCCCGCTTATTTTTCGGCACATCTCTCACGAGGATCGTGGCCCCATAGGGAGTTCCACCGACGGCCCCAGCGGCAGGGTCCGCATGCGTCCCCCCGCCCATTTCGGCACACCCCTCACGAGGATCGTGGCCACATAGGGAGCTCCACCGAAGGCCCCAGCGACAGGGTCCGCATGCGTCCCCCCGCCCATTCCGGCACACCCCTCGCGAGGATCGTGGCCCCATAAGGTGCATCACCGAAGGCCCCAGCGGCAGGGTCCGCATGCGTCCTCCCTGCTCATTTCGGCACACCCCTCACGAGGATCGTGGCCCCATAGGGAGCTCCACAGAGGGCCCCAGCGGCAGGGTCCGCATGCGCCCCCCGCCCATTTCGGCACACTCTTTACGAGGATCGTGGTCCCTCAGGGAGCTCCACCGACGGCCCCAGCGGCAGGGTCCGCATGCGTCCCCCCGCCCATTTCGGCACACCCCTCACGAGGATCTTGGCCCCGTAGGGAGCTCCACCGAAGGCCCCCGCGGCAGGGTCCGCGTGCGTCCCCACGCCCATTTTTCGGTACGCCCCTCACGAGGACAGTGGCCCCATAGGGAGCTCCCCTCGGGAGCTCCACAGAGGGCCCCAGCGGCAGGGTCCGCATGCGTCCCCTCGCGCATTTCGGCGCACCCCTCACGAGGATCGTGGCCCCGTCGGGAGCTCCACCAAAGGCCCCAGCGGCAAGGTCCGCATCCGTCCCCCCGCACATTCGGGCACACCCTTCACGAGGATCGTGGCCACATAGGGAGCTCCACCGAAGGCCCCAGCGACACGCTCCGCATGCGTTCCCCCGTTCATTTTTCGGAACGCCCCTCGTCGCCCCACAGGTAGCTCCACAGACGGTCCCAGCGGCAGGGTCCGCATGCGTCCCCCCGCCCAGGCCCTTCACAAGGATCGTGGCCCAATCGGGAGCTCCACCGAAGGCCCCCGCAGCATGGTCCGCATGCGTACCCCGCCTATTTCGGCACCCTTCACGAGGATCGTGGCCCCGTAGGGAGCTCCACCGAAGGCCCCAGCTACAGGGTCCGCATGCCTCCCCCCGCCCATTTCGGCACACCCCTCACGAGGGTCGTGGCCCCACAGGGAGCTCCACCGAAGGCCCAAGCGACAGGATCCGCATGCGTCCCCCCTCAGTTTTCGGCACGCCCCTCACGAGGATCGTGGTCCCACAAGGAGCTCCACCGAAGGCCCCAGCGACAGGGTCCGCATGCGGCCCCCCTCCCAGGCCTTTCACAAGGATCGTGGCTCCATCGGGGGCTCCACCGAAGGCCCCCGCGGCAGGGCCCCCGCCCATTTCGGCACACCCCTCGCGAGGATCGTGACACCCCATGGGGAGCTTCACCAAAGGCCCCAGCGGCAGGGTCCGCATGCCTATTTCGGCACGCCCCTAACGAGGATCGTGGCCCCGCAGGGGGCTCCACCAAAGGCCCCAGCGGCAGGGTCCGCATGCGTCCCCCCGCCGATTTTTCGGCACACCCTCACCAGGGTCATGGCCCCGTAGTGAGCTCCACCGAAGGCCCCCGCGGCAGGGTCCGCATGCCTCCCCCCGCCCATTTCGGCACACCCCTCACGAGGATCGTGGCCACATAGGGAGTTCCACCGAGAGCGGTACCCACAACGCGGCACTAACAAATGCATCTGGTTGGGCCCTTCGCCAGGATGATTTCAATTGTCCCCCAGATTGAAGTTTCAAACCGTTTTTTGACATTACTGTTTCAGCACTGCCTGCTGTCGCGACGGCTCGTGGCACATGTATTGCGCCTCCGTTGGCACACCCTGGGCTAACATGAGCATGAATTACAGAGGCAAGGCGGCGCCAGACGTAAAGACTGCAGGGAACAAATGATGCAACAGCTGCCAGATCACCGATGTTCCTCAATCAGTGCTTGCACTGATGGAGTCCTAGCGGATATTGAAAGATTTGGCGAAAGTCTCCTGCCGATTTTGGTGGCCGGCTGGGTTCCCGGGTTCCCGGTTCCGGGTTCCCGGGTTCCTGGTTATTGGTTCTGGGACGATTTCGGTGGACTCCGGGTTCCCAGGTCCCCGGGTTCACGGTCGATCTCCTTGTCGATCAGACCATCCGTTGCTCGGGGTTGTTCTCTGGTGTCACTCTCTCTGGTCGCAGTGGGAGCCCCTCGGAATGACGGAGCACGCCCAGGAGTCAAAGACGCAGGATATGGCGCGGGGGCTCAGGGGGACGAAACCTGGGCAGCCCGCCGGGGTCCGCACGACGCGCGGGCTGCACGAGCAGCGCCCCTTACCGAGGGAGGAGGAAGGGATGCTACCCTCCCCCTCCTCTCTCCTCCTCATCCTCCTCCCCCCTCCTCCTCCCTCCTCCTTCTCCCCCCTCCTCTCTCCTCATCCTCTTCCTCCTCCTCCTCCTCCTCCTCCTCCTCCTCCTCCTCCTCCTCCTCCTCCCCTTCCTCCTGGGGGGGGACCATGGGAGGGGGGAGAGGGGGAAGGGAAGGCCTACCCGCAGGGGAACCACGTTGGCTGTGGGGTTTTCGGCGGAGGTGATCCGCTGAACCACCTGGGCCCAGAGGGCCAGAGGAATGGTATGTAGTAATTACCCATTCACACGCAACGCCGCCGAAAACATACGAGTGGCTAAGTGATCCCCCCGCCTCCCCACCCCTCCGGGAACGCTCCACGGGTAGGTCACGTGGATTACGCTTGTTCTTTGGGATCCCAGAGGACTTCGACAGCGCGGGCTTCCCACACACCAGCTTGACTGATGCAGTTTCGAGGGTCATGAAGGTCGGGGGTGGACCGAACCCCCACCATGACACGTCGATTAGTGAATTGTTTGTTTTCGGTTCCCTACAGGGCGCCGCGGCCGTCATTTTCCAGGCTTGCGCCCGCCAGGTGTGGGCCCGAGGTCGTTTTCACTAAACCACGTTTTACTGAAGGGGGTTCTGTCCATCCCCGAGAAGGACCACCCCCACATTAATCCGTTGACCGAGGTCCTTGCGCCAGAAGTGGCGAGGCGGACGGCCTTTGCGATCGGGTGCCTCGGCCTCCTCTTGGGCTCCGTAGTCGCCTGCTTCTGGTGCCGCGCCTGCACGGCGATAAGCAGGACAACCGAGGCCGTGAAGGACGCGTGCAGCATCTTGAGGGAGAGCCCTACGATCTTTTTGCAGCCTCTGCTTCAGATCATCATCCAGGTGTCATGCTTGGCCTTTCTTGTTTTCCGGATGTTGTTGGTCATCTCTCTTGGAAAGGTGGAGACCACCAGCGCCTTCGATGTGGACAGCGCCACTTCCATCGTCGGTATCCAGGGGACGCTTACCATATCCGCTGCATCACGAGTCTGGCCAGATGCATCCAGGGCCCCAAGTGTTGTAGCGTGTTCCGGCTCTACCAGGAGAGTGCGGACGCCGCTTCTGGGGCCAGGATGGGCATGGTCAGGCTTGGATGTGATGCACCGGCGGCGTTCTCTCAGGCATTCCCATCCAAGTGGGTGGTATGAATCGCTCCTTCGTGTTCACCAAGAGTGAATTGTACATGATAGTATATTGCCTGCTCGGGAGCGTCTGGATCTACGAGACCGTGGCGGCGACGGGTCATTTTGCTATCGCGCACGCTGTAACAATGAGGAGCCATATCCAAAATGCAAGCTAGGGCTTGCTCCCAACCTCCTTCTGAGTCGGCCCCCTCAGCAGGGGAGGAGGGATTAGGAGGCAGTGAGGAGGTTGGAAACAAAGAGGGGACAGGATGATGAGGAACAACAATGGGCAGGGATGAGGAGGCGCTCAACGTGTCCACATGCTTCTACGAAGCCTTAATGTTCGGCTCATGGACAGGAAGTTGCCCCACCGCGACACCTGCCTGCGACCCCTGCCTGTGCTCCGCGGTTACTTCTACGGTGTCGTCTTCCACTTGGGCACCCTGGCCGCAGGCGCTCCTATCCTTCCCCTCCCCCCTCCTCCTCCTCCTCCTCCTCCTCCTCCTCCTCCTCCTCCTCCTCCTCCTCCTCCTCCTCCTCCTCCTCCTCCTCCTCCTCCTCCCCTACGATTGTTGTCTAAGCAGCCCAGGCATCCGCAGCAGCCTTGGCAGTCACATCTTCCTCGTCCCATCCTTTGTCGTCCTAAGCCCTTCGGTCGTCGTCCTCGGTGCGTCTTGGGGGCTTCTTCGGCCCTCTGCAGGGCATCATGGGTCGTCTCGGGGCCATCCTGGCTGTGTTGGAGGCGTCTTGGGACCGCCTCCTCGGAGGCCACCTTGGGCCGTCTTGGCCGTCTTGGAGGCCATCGTATGAATGCTCTTCATCCCGCTCCTCTTCCTACTCACCAACGGTGCCTTCATCATGGGCGTGCTGCGGATCTTCACGGCGGTGGCGGTGGTGCTGTCGCGGGAGGTGGACGGCGGGAGGCGTGCGGCGGGCGGGAGGAAGAGGAACCCCGTCGCTCTGGGCACCGAAGACGCCTACGGCGCGAACCTCCGCCGCCGCCTCCCTTTGGAAGCACGTGCCGTCGGTAACTGTTGGTCGCGTCGCCGGCTCGCCTGCCACTCATCGGCGCGACGGGCTCCGCGCGGTTCGGCCCCGCGCGTCGACGTCCAGAGCCGTTCCCGGCCTGCCGACCCGCGGGGCGGACGGGCACGCCATCCACTTGCAAGGCATATCGGGGGCGGCAAAGAGGGGGGTGGTGACTACGGGGGGGTGGATATCATGGCGGGGGCAATGATCTCTCCCCAGATTCCACGGCGCCTCTTCTTATTTCGTTACGCCCCTGGCCCCCCCGCTGGGCCGCGCACATGCCGCCGGTCATGATTTGCACCCCCCCTCTTGGACACCCCCCTCTTGGCCGCTCCCGATATCCAATTGCAAGGCATAGCGCGTCGCCGGGCCGCCGCCGCGACACGCTAAGCAAGAGTCCCCGACCTTGTGTGGTCAAACGTTGGGCCATCTTGGGGCGAGCTTGGGCGGAGCAGTCACTTGGGAGCCGCATTTACCAGTGGGCCTGCGGGGTCGGCCAACCCGTTGGGAGCCTTCTGTAATTGTAGCAAGCAGTAAGAACAATCAGCACGCCAAGCACCCCCGTGATGAGCACAGGGGGCGGCGGATCGAGTGGCCTTCGGCCCATCCCGCCAGCGTGACCGTGTCGTGGACAAGAGGCCTCTCAAAGGCTTCCAGGGGTCTCGTTGGAAGCCTCTCGTGCGCATGTCTGGAGGCATGCTTGGAGGCTCATTGGGGCGTACGGGGGGCCGCTTGGGGCATCTGGGGGGCCGTCTGGCGGTCTGGGGGCAGCGTTTGTTTGGTTGCGGGAAAGACTCGCAACGTTGGTTCGGGTTCCTTCGTCTTGGACCCCTCTCGGGGCCCTCTTGGGCGCCTCCTGGGCCGGCTTGGGTCGTCTGGAGGCCCTTCTTGGAGCATCGCGGGCCGTCCCAGAGCGATATCGGGGGCCTCTTTGGCTGTCTGGGAGGGCGACAAGCTCGAAATGCCGAGAACGCTAGAGTTGCAAAAGCCGTGCGGAAGTTGGAATGTTGCATTTCGGAGCCTCTTTGGGGGTCATCTTGGGGCCTTCTTGGGGGCTTCTCGAGCCGTCTGAAGAGCGTCTTGGGATGCTCTTGGGGGCTCTTGTAACGACGGGAAACTCCTGGACAGTCTTGCGGGCATCTTGGGACTCTATGGGCCCGTCTTGGTGATCCCTGGCCTTTGGAGGAGTCGTCCGACCAGCCCCGAAAGTCACGTGGCAAGCCCCTGGGCCCATTAAAGAGCATTGCGTGACTGAGGGACCTGAGGACACCCCACTCAGTGCCTGCGGCACGGTGGCGGATATCCTGTTGCTGTTGCTGTTGCCTGGACTGCATGACGTGGGTGACGCAGATCGTCAACGACATGGCGTATGTGGATGTGATCGCGTATGGGCATGGCTATTTCGATGCAGCGTGGCACGTGTACAAGAAGACAGTCACCAACCCCCTCACTGCCGGCACCGCCGTGGGCACCATGAGAGCCATCAGGATCAAGCAGTGGCAAAGCATCCTGGCTCGCCCATAGGCCGGCTAAAGGATGTTCTAAGCACTTTCTGTGGTCTGCACCAAACATGATCTTAGAACATGTTTGGCTGAGGCCGTCTTGTTCGAAGAGCATTTCTTTTATCCTGAGAGCATTCCTCTCATTCTGAGAACGTGTCGTAGTTGGTCTATTGGAACGTCGGGACGGTCGGTCCCTGCTCCACAGTCGGGGGAGCGTAAGACCCGGGTTTGCCAGGACTCGGGTTCGCCATCGTTTTTTGGCGACCGCGCCTCGGATTTTGACGAGGAGGAGTTTCGTGGGATGTCTGCAGCGGGAGGCCTCGTCAAAATGCAGGCTCGGCCTCGTCATTTGTTTGATGACCTCGTCGGGGATTTCCGAGTCCCCTGTACCCAGGTCTTACGTACCCCTGACACAGGAGCGTCGGCATCGCGTCCACCACTGCACTGGGCGTGTGCGGTGCTCCCGGGCGGACCCGGAATCGGGGGGCAGTCCTGGGCAGGCAGGGGGGCAGCTTGCTGTCAAAACGTCTTTCTGTGTGGGCGTTGGCCGTGCCCCTGGTCGATCTGGCGCGTGGGAGGAGGAGGAGGAGGAGGAGGAGGAGGAGGAGGAGGAGGAGGAGGAGGAGGAGGAGGAGGAGGAGGAGGAGGAGGAGGAGGAGGAGGAGGAGGAGGGGAGGAGGAGGAGGAGAGGAGGAGAAGGAGGAGGAGGAGGAGGAGGAGGAGGAGGGGAAGGGAGGAGGAGGAGGAGGAGGAGGAGGAGGGGAGGAGGAGGAGGAGGAGGATGGGGCTGATGGGCAGGCAGAGGGGCAGGAGGCACCACGAGGGGGCCTAGTCGTGTCCAGGCTCCTGGCTTTGGTGCTCCGCCCACCCTGCAGGGCTCCTTTCGATTTCTCCGATTTGGCTGGATTCGATTTCGCTGGCTGCCCATTCCGATTCGATTGGACGTCGGATTCCAATTTGGGTTCCGATTGTGCAAGAGCGTCTCCCTGGGGTCGAAGAGCAACACACTGCATAAAAAAAACATCAGCTTTCGACGCTCCGCGCGGATTTCCTGGATCTGCGCTGGAATATCCTGGCGGCGCCTCCGGCGCCGCCAACGGCTCGCGGAGCGCGCCAGGGAGTGGGGCTCAGCGCAGATGCAAGAACTTTGCGCGGACTGGCACACGTTTGCGTTCATGCACTCATTTGCTCGTCCTTCGGGTGCCCGTCTGCCCTTCTTCAGCGAGCGAAGAACGGTATAACATAAACTGTTTCGCTGTCGGGGGCGCCTGTCCCTGGGCGGCTGGAAAGTTTATATCTCTACGGTGCCCCGACAGCGAAATTTTATACCGTTCTTCGCCCGTTAACTTTTTCCCCTTCCTGCCTCCGCCTCCCCGTCCTCCCCGAGGCAGGAGGCGAGTGCCGCGCCGCGTGGGGAGCGCACTGCCGGAGCACGGTCCGCAGACCGGGGACGCAGGCCGCGAGAGTGGGGGCTCAGCAGCAACTCCTGTGAGAGTGACCCTCCTCCTCCTCCTCCTCCTCCTCCTCCTCCTCCTCCTCCTCCTCCTCCTCCTCCTCCTCCTACCCCTCCCCCTCCCCCTCCTCCCCTGGCATCGGGCCCACAGGGGCCCCCCGATCGCTGAGAGCGGTGCGGTAACGGTGGATTGCGCGCCCGGGCAGGGGCCCGCCCGTCCCCCTCGGAGCCGCGCGCCCCGGGGTCACTCTCTTGCTCATGGTCGCTCCCTGCCGTGTGGCCGAGGGACGACCGAAACGTAGACGAAGACGCCCTGCCCGAGTGAGGAGAAAGGGAGGCTTCGCGCCCCCTCGTCGCGTAGCAGACGCGACGGCGTTAGGGGGCAGCGGGCGGCGGCAGCGCTGGCCCCGTGACCCACCGCCCACGCGTCGATGGCCAGCCGGGCAGCGAGCTCCGGGCTGTGCGCGCGTCCCGGCCGACCACGGCTGGGGCGCGGCCCGGCCAGATCGTCGGAGGCGATGCCGTCAAAAACCCTAGTAAGGACGCGCGACTTTGCTCAGGGTACCCCTGCGTCCCTGCTCGTCCTTGCTCTTGCGTCCTCGCGGTTTTCGTCGTCCGCCGCCCCCAAAAAACCCAACTTCGGCCTCTTCAAGGGTCGTGCGTCCTCACCGCGCGTCCTTGTTCGGGTCTCCGACTGTGCCTCGTGCCCGTGCCCGCTGCTCCTCCCTCCCCCTCCTGCCGCTGGCGCTCGAGTTCCGGCACCTGCCCCTCTGCCCTCCCTCTCGTGTCTCTCTCCGGGGGCGGCCTGTCCCTCGCTCGGAGCGTCGGACCGCGCTTCTTCCTCCTCCTCCTCCTCCTCCTCCTCCTCCTCCTCCTCCTTCTCCTCCTCCTCCTCCTCCTCCTCCTCCTCCTCCTCCTCCCTCCCTGCTCCCGTCCAGCTCGAGCCCATCAAGACTCGGGGGTGGACAGAGCCCCCAACAGTGACACGTCGATTCGTGCATTGTCCGTGTTCGGTTCTCGAGATGGCGCCGTGGCCGTTCTTTTCCAGGCTTGCGCCCGCCAGGTCTGTGCCTCAGGTCGTTTTCACGAAACCACGTTTTGCTAAAGGGGGGTCTGTCCATCCCCGAAAGACTCCTGGTCCCTCGCTCGGAGCGTCAGACCGCGCTTTTTGCTTCGGGGATGGACAGACCCCCCTTTAGCAAAACGTGGTCTCGTGAAAACGACCTGAGGCCCAGACCTGGCGGGCGCAAGCCTGGAAAAGAACGGCCACGGCGCCATCTCGAGAACCGAAAACGGACAATTCACTAATAGACGTGTCATTGTTTGGGGTTCTGTCCACCCCCGATTGCTCTCGTCCAGCTCGAGCCCATCAAGACTCCTGGTCCCGCGCCTCCGTGAAGGGCTCGAGGGGCCGATCTGGCGCGTTCTGGTGGTCTGGGGAGTGGGCCTGGCCTCGTCGTCGGCGGCCTCGTCGTCGGCCTACCGCCACTTCCTGGGTTCGCCAAGGCCCCCGTGCCTCAACCTTCCCGGTCCTCCCCTTGACTCTCGCTGGATTTATCGCGCTGATAATCGGTTTCTCATCCATTGTTTTGCCGATCGTCGCGGGCCCTGCGCCGCCTCCCCCCCGCCGATGGAGTAATTCTCGGCTGTCTGTGGCGTTCGTTTCCAGCAGGTGGAGCCTCCCCCGCAGGACGCACTGTTGCAAGCAGCCGCGTTCAGTAGAGGTCCAGAGCCAGACTCCCCCCTCCACACCCCCCTTCCGCCCAACGTCGAAACGCCGAGCGAGAAGACGTTCACCTCCCGAGGCCTGGACGTATCCATATTTCGCCGCCGCCCAAGGGCGGATCTGCGGGGACCTCGGCCGGCGGCGGGTATGGATGTGTTCGGGCCCTTTGGGGGGGTGAGGGGTGCGGGGCAACCATACCAACCTCCTCCACTGGCTCGGCCTCGCGCGAACGTGTGTCTGTTGCCTCGGCGAGGACCATCGAGGAGCAGCCCGGATGTAGATATCAATCTAGGATCACCTCTCCCTTGTGGAGTCAGCCCTCTGTCTTGGTGTTGGTGCCCACTTCAGGCATCCCATGTGAAGCAATGTTAGATTTCCCGCTGACCCTCCTCGTGTCTCTTGCGCGCGCCGCCTGGGCTCAAGGGTGGGACCGCTTGTGCCTCGAAGCTTTGGTGCCTCGCCAATGAAAAAGAGGAGGGAAGGGAGTCTGTGGGAAACACATATACGCACACACACACACGCACACGCACACGCACACGCACACACACACACACACTGTGTGGGGAAAACACACACAGTGGGGAAAAAAAACACGCACACACAGTGTGTGTTTTTGTCCCACTGTGTGTGTGTGTGTTTTCTTGTGTTGTGTGTGCTTGTTGTTTTTCCCACGGAGCTCACGCGCGACACCGACAAGTGAACACAGAGCGGACGTCCGAGCGATGGCGAGCGAGCCGCGTCGCCGACGCGGCTGGCCGGCGGGAGGCGGCCGGCAGGGCGAGGTGGCGAGGCGCCGCCCCGCTCGCGCGAGCGCCGCCCTCGCGCAGGAAGCGTGGCATCGCCCGGACGTGTGCATTTTTTTCCAGGCGAGGACCATCGAGGATCGGGCCGGACGAAAGGGAGGGGGATGGGGAAAGGGGGGGGTACGAAACTTGCTGCGTGCGGCGGGGTTCGGCCCCACCGAGGGGCCCATTCCTCGATACATGGGCGCCTCTGGCGCCGGGAGGCGCCTGGAAAATCAGCTGCGTGAGCTGATTCTCAAAGACCCCCTTTGCTATCCCCCCCTTTCGCCCGGCCCGAGAGGATCATCCGAGATCATGTGGTGTTTATATTTCAGAATTCACAATACCGATACATGTCAGCCACGCGCAGAGGGGGGTGGGAGGGGGGAGCGTTTCTTAGAATCACCCCTGCTTCTCAAAAGGCGCGGGCACCTCTCTACAGACGTACGGCTGGGGCCTTCTGAGAAGCAGGGTTGCTTCTAGGAAGCCTTCCCCCCTCCCCCCACCGCCTCTTGCGCGCCGCCACAGATGCACACGGAACAGACGTCCGAGCGACGGCAGGTTGGAAGGGGCGCCCCTTCGCAAGCCAGCCGCGTCGCCGGCGCGGCGGGCCGAGGGACGGCCGAACGGCGAGACGGCGGCGAGGTGTCGGCCCGCTCGTGCGAGCGTCGGCCGAGCACGTGATATCGAGTCGTGCTTGTCCCTTGGCGAAGGGGGAACCTTGAAGAGTAGTGGAAAGTAAACCACAGTCTGGGGACGATGTCTCTGCATCTGTTCGAGTACATGCAGTCGGCCCAGATGAGCAGGTCGACCCCTTCCGCGGCCATGCTGGCTCAAGCAGCCCAGCCCCTTGGGCGAAGCATTGGTTCGTACGCGCATGAAGTGCTTGGGTTGAACCATTCATTCCTCGGAATAGTCGCGCCATGCTTCACGTTCTTCCAGTGGTTCTGGCGGCTTTTCCAACACTCACTTGTGCGCTGCACCATGCGACGTCCGCATTGCCAGCGCAGTTGGACGCGGAAGACTTGCAAGCTGTCCTTGACGGGCTCCAAAGGGGCGGTAAAGGGTTGATTGCCGACGAGGCATACGCGTTTAAGGAGAAGGATGTGTGGCATCCCTACGAGCTGACGAGCATTGGGCGCAAGTGGGGCGAGTATCAAGCATCGCTAGCGCGTGGCATTAGCGACGGGTCAGGGAAGAAACATTTGAAGGTGCTGGTCGTGTCCGCGGTTGCAGACACTCTGCGGGAGAGGCAGCTTTTGGAGGACAGCGTGCAGCGGTTGGCGGCCACGAGCAGCGGCCATGATGACATCTTTCAGTGGGCCCTCTTTCACCATGATAAGACCACCGAGAACTGGGACAACTCGACTCTGTTCACAAAGACGACTGGAACTGGTGAGAAGCTAGTTGTTTTCGATCGCAAGGGCGCGGGCTGCAAGCTGCAGAACTGGGGCGCCTTGCCGGAAGAGCTTACGAGCAAGTACGACTTTATCTGGATGATGGACTCAGACTTGCGGCTCGATTTCTTCCGATGGGACTTGTACCGGGCCGTCCTGACAACGCTCAATCCATTGGTCTCGCAGCCGTCAGTCCTCCCCCCATTCGGTGGAGGCCAGTCCAGCGCAATCAAGTCCCTGACAATCCATTCTTCCTGTAGCGACGGGTTCCCTGTAGCAATGGAGTTGCCTCGAACCGAGGTGCAGGCGCCTGTGATCTCCACAAAGATTTGGCCCGCGATTCGCACCCGTATACGCAACGGCCCAGGGACAACAGATTGGTTCACAGACTCTTTCTGGGATGCGATTGTCCAGACGGCGAAGGACTTCAATTGTGGCCAAGTTGGACCAGTGATGGTGAATGCTGCGCCCGTATGGCACCAATCTTGGAAGACCCTCAGCAAGAAGGGCGGAGGCAAGTGCCCACCTTGGAAGGGAGCAGGGGCCAACCGGCGTGACATCTCATCCGAAGAGTATGAAGCAGTGAAAGCGGCATTGTTGAGCATAGGATGCCAGTCAAACATGTCTCAAACGTTGTTCAATTTCCTCTTCTCGGAGCAAGCACACGAAGGACAGAGGTTATGCAGGCCTGGAGTGTCAATGTGCCGCAAGTGGATCGATGGCAGCGCCAAGGGCGCCTCACCGCACACGTGCTTCCCACAAGCTCCAGAGTTCGCGCGAACAGAGTTCGCAAAGCGCGGCATGGTGACCGCCGACGACACTGAGCATTTGCTTGGCGGGCTTCAGGTAGGGATCTACCAAGGGCTGCCAGAGAAGACCAAGCGCCTGAGGCCTCTTAGTCGCATGCGCCAGCGCATGCAGCGCTGGCAGAATGCCACCGAACGCCTGGGCTAGCCACGCATCCTGCGAGAAAGACTCACCCCTGCCCCCTTGTGGAGTCAGCCCTCTGTCTTGGTGTTGGTGCCCACTTCAGGCATCCCATGTGAAGCAATGTTAGATTTCCCGCTGACCCTCCTCGTGTCTCTTGCGCGCGCCGCCTGGGCTCAAGGGTGGGACCGCTTGTGCCTCGAAGCTTTGGTGCCTCGCCAATGAAAAAGAGGAGGGAAGGGAGTCTGTGGGAAACACATATACGCACACACACACACGCACACGCACACGCACACGCACACACACACACACACACACACTGTGTGGGGAAAACACACACAGTGGGGAAAAAAAACACGCACACACAGTGTGTGTTTTTGTCCCACTGTGTGTGTGTGTGTTTTCTTGTGTTGTGTGTGCTTGTTGTTTTTCCCACGGAGCTCACGCGCGACACCGACAAGTGAACACAGAGCGGACGTCCGAGCGATGGCGAGCGAGCCGCGTCGCCGACGCGGCTGGCCGGCGGGAGGCGGCCGGCAGGGCGAGGTGGCGAGGCGCCGCCCCGCTCGCGCGAGCGCCGCCCTCGCGCAGGAAGCGTGGCATCGCCCGGACGTGTGCATTTTTTTCCAGGCGAGGACCATCGAGGATCGGGCCGGACGAAAGGGAGGGGGATGGGGAAAGGGGGGGGTACGAAACTTGCTGCGTGCGGCGGGGTTCGGCCCCACCGAGGGGCCCATTCCTCGATACATGGGCGCCTCTGGCGCCGGGAGGCGCCTGGAAAATCAGCTGCGTGAGCTGATTCTCAAAGACCCCCTTTGCTATCCCCCCCTTTCGCCCGGCCCGAGAGGATCATCCGAGATCATGTGGTGTTTATATTTCAGAATTCACAATACCGATACATGTCAGCCACGCGCAGAGGGGGGTGGGAGGGGGGAGCGTTTCTTAGAATCACCCCTGCTTCTCAAAAGGCGCGGGCACCTCTCTACAGACGTACGGCTGGGGCCTTCTGAGAAGCAGGGTTGCTTCTAGGAAGCCTTCCCCCCTCCCCCCACCGCCTCTTGCGCGCCGCCACAGATGCACACGGAACAGACGTCCGAGCGACGGCAGGTTGGAAGGGGCGCCCCTTCGCAAGCCAGCCGCGTCGCCGGCGCGGCGGGCCGAGGGACGGCCGAACGGCGAGACGGCGGCGAGGTGTCGGCCCGCTCGTGCGAGCGTCGGCCGAGCACGTGATATCGAGTCGTGCTTGTCCCTTGGCGAAGGGGGAACCTTGAAGAGTAGTGGAAAGTAAACCACAGTCTGGGGACGATGTCTCTGCATCTGTTCGAGTACATGCAGTCGGCCCAGATGAGCAGGTCGACCCCTTCCGCGGCCATGCTGGCTCAAGCAGCCCAGCCCCTTGGGCGAAGCATTGGTTCGTACGCGCATGAAGTGCTTGGGTTGAACCATTCATTCCTCGGAATAGTCGCGCCATGCTTCACGTTCTTCCAGTGGTTCTGGCGGCTTTTCCAACACTCACTTGTGCGCTGCACCATGCGACGTCCGCATTGCCAGCGCAGTTGGACGCGGAAGACTTGCAAGCTGTCCTTGACGGGCTCCAAAGGGGCGGTAAAGGGTTGATTGCCGACGAGGCATACGCGTTTAAGGAGAAGGATGTGTGGCATCCCTACGAGCTGACGAGCATTGGGCGCAAGTGGGGCGAGTATCAAGCATCGCTAGCGCGTGGCATTAGCGACGGGTCAGGGAAGAAACATTTGAAGGTGCTGGTCGTGTCCGCGGTTGCAGACACTCTGCGGGAGAGGCAGCTTTTGGAGGACAGCGTGCAGCGGTTGGCGGCCACGAGCAGCGGCCATGATGACATCTTTCAGTGGGCCCTCTTTCACCATGATAAGACCACCGAGAACTGGGACAACTCGACTCTGTTCACAAAGACGACTGGAACTGGTGAGAAGCTAGTTGTTTTCGATCGCAAGGGCGCGGGCTGCAAGCTGCAGAACTGGGGCGCCTTGCCGGAAGAGCTTACGAGCAAGTACGACTTTATCTGGATGATGGACTCAGACTTGCGGCTCGATTTCTTCCGATGGGACTTGTACCGGGCCGTCCTGACAACGCTCAATCCATTGGTCTCGCAGCCGTCAGTCCTCCCCCCATTCGGTGGAGGCCAGTCCAGCGCAATCAAGTCCCTGACAATCCATTCTTCCTGTAGCGACGGGTTCCCTGTAGCAATGGAGTTGCCTCGAACCGAGGTGCAGGCGCCTGTGATCTCCACAAAGATTTGGCCCGCGATTCGCACCCGTATACGCAACGGCCCAGGGACAACAGATTGGTTCACAGACTCTTTCTGGGATGCGATTGTCCAGACGGCGAAGGACTTCAATTGTGGCCAAGTTGGACCAGTGATGGTGAATGCTGCGCCCGTATGGCACCAATCTTGGAAGACCCTCAGCAAGAAGGGCGGAGGCAAGTGCCCACCTTGGAAGGGAGCAGGGGCCAACCGGCGTGACATCTCATCCGAAGAGTATGAAGCAGTGAAAGCGGCATTGTTGAGCATAGGATGCCAGTCAAACATGTCTCAAACGTTGTTCAATTTCCTCTTCTCGGAGCAAGCACACGAAGGACAGAGGTTATGCAGGCCTGGAGTGTCAATGTGCCGCAAGTGGATCGATGGCAGCGCCAAGGGCGCCTCACCGCACACGTGCTTCCCACAAGCTCCAGAGTTCGCGCGAACAGAGTTCGCAAAGCGCGGCATGGTGACCGCCGACGACACTGAGCATTTGCTTGGCGGGCTTCAGGTAGGGATCTACCAAGGGCTGCCAGAGAAGACCAAGCGCCTGAGGCCTCTTAGTCGCATGCGCCAGCGCATGCAGCGCTGGCAGAATGCCACCGAACGCCTGGGCTAGCCACGCATCCTGCGAGAAAGACTCACCCCTGCCGCAGACATCGTGCGAAATATATGCATTATTCCTTCCGCGCCGTCAGTTGCAACGGCAACGTTCGAGCGATTGCCAGAAGAGCAGCACCTAAGCCGAGTAATCTCAGTTGTGTGCTGCGAGAAGACACATGGCGCTTCGGCTCCGCCTCGCGACCCACTTGAGGCCGGAGCGGCGCATGAACAGTGTATGAGTACTTACCTGCTTTCTGGTGTTCAGAAATAAAAAGATTAGCAGGTCGACGCTGCCAAATCAAGGGTACCCTCGTGTCCTGTATCTCGCGACCCCTGCTTCCTACATTTCTGCGGCAATGTGGCCCTGGGAGGGGTCCAGTTTCCCCTCGCGTCTCCTCTCCCATCAAGTCCTCCGACTGTATGTTCGAGTGTTGGACCTCTGTGGGCCCCGGAAACGGCAGGGTCGTTTTTCACCGTTTCCAAAAAACATGTCCCTTGAAAATGGGAACGGCAAAAAAAACGGCGACGGGAAACGGCAAAAAAACGGCTCCAGGATTGGAACCGGAGCCGGAACCGGTCAAAAAACGGGGACGGAACCGGTAAAACAACGGCGTCGGAACCGGCAACACAAACGGCAAAACGGAACCGGAAAAAAATACGGTCCTGTCGTTTCTAGGGCCCACTAAGGTTTGGACACTGTGATGTATTTGTTCGAATCCTTCGACCAATGTCCGCCCCTGAGCGTGCGAAGAGGGGGCCCTTCCCCGGAGGGGCCCCGCGGTGCAGGCCCGCAGGGGGCCTCTCCAGCAGTGGCCTGCGCTCTCGCTCGGTGCCCCCACCCCCCTTCCCCGCAGCCCCCCTGCGGCCGCGCTCCAGAGGTCTTAAGGCACCGCTCGGACGCGTGCATTTTGTCCTTCGGCGGGGACCATGGAGGAGCCTCCTCGATCCCTTGGCGGAAAAGCCACGCACAAGACTGAAACAGGCACAGGGGGTGGACGTCCGAGCGATGGCCAGGGGTCCTGCTTGCCCCGGGCTGTGATCAGAGGGAGGACGAGGGTACCCACACCGCCACCCTTTGCCCGTCTTCCCTCTTTTTCGGTCTCCTTGGAGGCCCTCGTCGCCACTGCTGGACTCGCCTCGAAATCCGGGTCGGAACGCAGCCTGGAGAGGTCCGGGGAGTAGAGGTATCGGTGCTTGTTGGCTTCTCCATATGATGTTCCAACCTTCTCTAGCCTTGATCGCCAGAAAGAATTTCGAGCATCAAGAAAGTACCGAAACTTGTGGGTTTGCACGCGTCGGGTCCTGGGATGCGACAGTCGTCCGACACCGTTTCGACACTTTTCGGGGTGCTCGAAATGATTTCTGAGATGCGGTCCTCCAGTACAGTCGGGGCCCTGAAGAAGGAACCCTTTTGGTTGGGGAGGGGCTCCGCGTTCCTTAAGTGTTTCACAGCTTGCCTCAGGTTTCCCTTATGTCTTCGATCGGAAATCGAAGTTTAAGTTATGGAACAAAAAGGGGCCTCGTTCCTTATTTAGGGTTCCGTAGGTCAACGCCCCGAGTGTACGATGGGCGGGGCAGCATGAGCCCAGGGCCGCTCCCTGGTTGGCCTCGATCGCCAGGAGGTGTGCACTTCGCCGGCGAGGGCCGTCGATCCTGGGTTCAGTCGGGCCTGTCCCTCTACAGGGGGAATATTCGGAACTAGTAAAATCGGGGGCGGAAAAGAAGGGGGTGATGACTAGGGGGGGGGTGAATATCATGGCGTGGGCCATGATATTTCCTCAGATCTCATGGCACCTCTTCTTGTTTCATTACGTGCCTCGGCCCCCCCAGGGGCCGCGCACATGCCGCTGGCCATGATTTGCGCCCCCCCCTCTTGGACGCCCCCCTCTTGGCCGCTCCCGATAAAACAATGGTCTGGGAACAATTTTTTGAGTATGTTTGTACCGCTTTGGAGTATGTGTTTCGAGTATCTTTGATTGTTCGCCCAAGTGCCCCCTGTAGGGGGACAGGCCCGATCTTGATTCTTTTTATCCACTTGGGAGTATGTTTTGAGTATCTCTTTGATTTTTCGCCCGAATGCCCCCTGTGGGGGGACAGGCCCGACTTCGGGCGATGGCCATCGATCCTGGGTCGGGTTGCGCAAACACGCGCGCGCGAGGCCGAAGAGCGCACGGGGAATGGCCTGGCATCGCTCGGACGCGTGCATTTTTTTGTCGGCGAGGACCATCGAGGAGCATCCTTGAGCGTTCGGCGAACAAAACTACGCACGAAACCGAACAAAAGCACAGGGAATGGACGTCCGAGCGATGGCCAGCTGGGCGTCCGAGCGGTGGCGCGAGCTGGGCCGTGGCCGGGAGCGAGCGCCCGAGGCGGGCAGTCCCGGGGCACCCGGGTTCGTCCCAGGAAAGGCCCTCGAGGTGTTTCAGGAGGGGAAAAAACACACAGACACAAGTAATCGTCGACCCCCAGGAAAATCTGGGAAAATATGGGAAGTTGGGGGGAAGAACGAAACCCAGGAACTATAGGAAAATATGGGAATCTTTTTATTTGTGTGTATGTATTTGTGTGTCCCAGGGCCCCTTCAGTGTTCGGGGGCTTCTCCAGGGGAAGAGGCAGTGGCAGAAGTGCGGGTCGGGCAAATGACCACAGCCACTGCTTCTCGTTTGCCCCGCCTTCCAGCTGGCCGAACAAGAAGCAGTGGTTGTGGTCATCTGCCTGGTGCCAAGCTTAACGAAAATGGCCACAACCACTGCTTTGTTTCTGCTGGCTGGGAGGCGGCAACAGAATAAAGGCAGTGGTTGTGGTCATTTTTCCGTCCCGTAATAAGGCATGTGAGGCGAGGCTTCTTGTCTCTTGCTGCTTGCACGTGCGTTCGCCGAGAAGCTGTCGCTGCAAGGTACCGATGCATCAGGTCGTGGAACAAAAAAAGAAGTGTCGAGCTGCTGCTGCAAGCAAACGTCCGGCCACGGGGAGGGGGCTCTTCCTAAGCATAACAGCTCGGAGGTTCGCGCGGGTTCCTCGGCTCGGCGCTGGGGCCCCCCTCCACGGCGCGCGGATCGCGCCAGGGGTGGCGCCGGGGGCGCCGCCAGGAGGGCCCCAGCGCCGATCCGAGGGATCCGCGCGGACCTCCTAGTTCTAAGTCGGGCCTGTCCCTCTGCAGGAGGAACCGTCAAAAATAGTAAAAAGATCGTTTGGGACGATGTTTTGACTATATTTGATGATTTGTTGATTGGCTTTCATTTTTCGCCCAAGATCCGCCCCGGCCTAATCCTAGTTTCTATGTTTATGCCAGTGCTTGTTCCCCTATTCTCGTCCTCGGCGGAAGGCCTAGGCCAGCGCAGGATGGCGGAAGCCCACGCTGTCCTCCCGGGGGCTGTCAGCTTTGTAGGATGCGGTGCTCCAGGAGCGGGCTCAGCTTGCTGTCAAAACGTCTTTCTGTGTGCGCGTAAGCCGTACCCCTGCCCGATCTGGCGCGTGGGAGGAGGAGGAGGACGAGGAGGAGGAGGAGGAGGAGGAGGAGGAGGAGGAGGTGGAGAGAGAGGAGGAGGAGAGAGGAAGAGGGAGAGGAGGAGAAGGAGGATGATTAATGAGGAGGAGGAGGAGGAGGAGGAGGTGGAGGAGGCCTGGAGCCCTGGAGCGGCACCAGGCCCCTGCGCTCCCCGCCTGCAACGCTCGGGACGCCGCGGACGTCCAACATTCAGAGCATTCCCGCGCGCTCGTGCTTTTGTTCTGGCGTGGTCCGACTGCGTGCGTTCGGGGATCGAGCCGACATCTTTTGGCGGCGCGCCCGGGGGGGGGAGTGAGAGGGAGAAGAGACGGCCCTCTGAGGAAGCGGCAGGGCTGCTCAGGAGCCCATCGCGCCTTCTGCGGAGTGCTCTGCGTCCGCGTAGGCGGCCCAGAAAACTTCTCACAAGGCCCGAGGCCATCCGAGCCTCCTGAGAAGGCCCGGCCGTTCTCACTTCCCCCCAGGTTCGCCGCCAAATACTGCGCTGGATTGGCCGCTGCCGGTGGCAGGCGGCTGTATTTTCGGCGGCCCAGGGCACCAGACATGGCGCAACCTGTGCTGCAAGCTATATGGCGCTGCCCATGCCGCAAGCTGCGGCGAAGGCTATCTCGCAACCTATGGGGAGAGAGGCATTCGGCGAGAGAGGATGGGGAACGAAGGGGGCAGGAGCAGGAGGTGGAGGAGGAGGAGGAGGAGGAGGAGGAGGCCCGACGGCGACGAGGCCAGGGCCGATGCCGTGGTTCCCCATACATCTGCCGATCTGATTTTTGCCAACATGCGGCCCCCAGAGATCCCGACCCCCTTCCCGCGCTAGTTTGTTGACCCCGATCCGTTTCTGAGGGCCCTGGGGCCTGGAGCCGGATAACGGGCCTCGGAGGCCCAGATCGAGGAAAAAACGCCCATTGACAAGCATCAGATCATCGGAGATCTTGGGCTCGAGGCAGCCTCCCCTCACAGAGCCCGGCGGGGCTACACCCTAGGCCTCCCAGATGGGGTCGGAGTATATGGGGTCGGAGGGTCGCGCCGCATCGCCGATGCATCGGCGATGCGGCTCGATGTGGAGCCCGATGTTCTCGACGCCGACGGCGGCGATGCATCGCCGACGTCGCCAGTGCAATGCCAGTACATCGGCGGTGCAGCGCGCTGGAGCATCTTGGATCACGCTGCGAAGCGAAACAAAAAAGAGAGGAAACGACGCCGCCCGACAATAATCAGCTCGTCGGAGATCTTGGGCTCGAGGCAGCTTCCCCTCGCAGCCTCCTGTGTGGCTTCACGACGGCGAGGCGGAGGATGAGAAGGAGGAGGAGGAGGATGAGGAGGAGGAGGAAGAGCCTCCCGACGCCCCGCCTCTCCCCTCCTCTTCCGTCCGCTGGGTTTCAGGAGGAGAAAAGGACGGAGGAGTAAGGGGAGGAGGAGGAGGAGGAGGGGGAGGAGGAGGAGGAGGAGGAGGAGGAGGAGGAGGAGGAGGAGGAGGAGGAGGAGGAGGAGGAGGAGTTGGAGCAGGAGGAGGC